GGTCCCATCCCTTCAATTAAAGCAGCAATAATAATTCCTTTTGTTATGAACAATTCAAGCCTTTTTGATTTTCCCAGATATGGAATTGCTTGTTAGCAGGATGGCAGGCAGCTCCTGTTCTCTCCTCTGACACTGAGGTTGATGCTTCCTCCTTTGCTTTCTGTTTTAGTTTACATGTTCCCCAAAACTGATTTTTAAATCTGTGTATGAAGTGCTATGAAATGGCACAAAGATGGTGATGGGAAGTCACTTCAGAATATTGTGGTAGCAGTGAAAGCTGCTGGAAAGCCGCAGGGACAGGAGAACCATGTGGCTCTGGTGCTCTCTCTGTCCACACCTGAGCCTCCTAAGCCAGACTTACTGGGATACAGTTAACTAAATTTAATCATTTGACCAAATTTAATCATTCATTTTAGTCAGAGACCTCTGACTAGATGTGCCAGTCTGCAAGAACAGTAAAGTCTGAGCTTTTAACCTTTGGCTTTCTTTACAATCAATCATGTCCTGGCTTTGATACACCTCGAGCAAAGAAGATAACAAAAGAAAAGTAAGGATAAATCACACTCTTTTGTCTTTGCACTGTAGATTGAATCAAAATTTTCTCATTAAATGTCTCTGAGAACAGGGGCATGGTGGTTTTCTTAATATTCTAGAGTGAAATCATAAAATGGTTTGGGTTGGAAGAGACATTAAAGCTCATCCAGTTCAACCCCTGTTGTGTGGCAGGGACAATTTCTGCTATCCCAGGTTGCTCCAAGCCCTGTCCAGCCTGGCCTTGGACATTCCCAGGGATCCAGGGGCAGCTGGAATAACCTGGAATAACCTGTTCTGGTGTCTCTAGCCTCCATCCTTTAATGGACTTTGAATAAATACATGCATCTATGTGTGGCATTGAACATCCACAAATTCAAGCTGAAGAGTTCTGCAAGTTAGCAGGAAGTGTGTGAAGAAATTTTTCCTTTTGTTTAGTCACATCCTGCTTGCATAGACAATGCATTATAATTATTATAATTGTTATTAGGACAATATTGTTACTAAATGACAGCTTTTCTAATCTGTACCTGGTGAACTGCATAGAAACTTCCACATTTGTGTATTGAGACAATACACAGGACACTCCTCTCAGACCTGGGCAACTGTGGAGGGTGAACCTGCACTAACAGCACAACTCTGGTTTTCTTGTTATTTCCCTTTAATCTTTTTTAAAATATATTCTAAGAACTTGAATGTCAGCCAATGCAATTTTCTCTGTCTTTGGGGATGCTTAGGGGATGATGTAGCAAAAGCCCTTATGTTCTTGGGAGATCCTGGAAATCTGTGACAATTTATCTTTTCCAGGCACCTGGGAGCCCTTAAAAAGAACTGTGTTTGTTTTGAAGACGAACAAATCTAATATGGTTGTGCCTGGTGTGTCCCCCGGGGGAAAATAGCTGAAATTTATTACTGGGGTCTTGGAGATGATGAAACTGTGCAGCATTATTAGTTCCTACAAATGGTGAGGAAAGATTTCCAGGAGAGTTCATCAGGAAACCCTCTCTGTCCTTGAAATAGCAGTGGTGGCTTTTAACATTTACACCAAAAAAAAAGTGTGCAGATGGTTCAGAGCATCACCACACAAACAAAAGCACAGCACAAGCACCACCAAACTGGATTATTACAGACACTGAATGGTGTGGGTTAGAAAGGACCTTACAGATAAATCTCATTCCATCCCCTTCCATGGGCAGGGACACTTTCCACTGTCCCAGGCTGCTCCAAACTCTGCCCAGCCTGACCTTGGGCACTTCCAGGGATGGCACAGCCACAGCTTCTATGGGCACCCTCTGCCAGGGCCTGCCCAACCTCACAGGGAACAATTCCTTCCTAAATATTGATCTGAATTGCCGAGGTCTCTGGTGTTGAGATGACCCTCAGGTGTCAGAAAGTCTCTTTTTCCCAGCCCAGAGACCAAAGAAGAAGTCAAGATTCCTCAGCTCTGGTTCTCAAGGCTGTTTATTTTCTCTTATCCATTCCATTCTTTCTCTGACCTGCTGAGATCTGTCCAGCAGGTCGGGTTGTGGCACAGTCCCTGCCCTTGAGGTGGTGTTGACTGCTTATGCTAAAACCTACGTGTGCTTTATTTACAATAATTTTCCAATACCTATCACCTGTGTTAGACAGTCTGGCTCTACTCTAAACCAATCCAGAAGTGCCACCAGCACAGCAGAAGATGGAGGGGAAGAAGAAGAAGAAGGAGGACAGGACACACCCAGATTCCTCCATCTTGCCTCTTGAACCCCCATTCTAAACCCCCAAAATTCTACTTTTTCACCCTGTGGCAAATTAACTATCATTCTGCTCAAACTTCTATGCCTTGTAACTCCTCACACAAAGTTGGTAATTGTTTCCATGGGCTAAAATCAAGGGCACAGGTGTTTGTGACTCCATGCCAAGGTCTCTGAGCCCCCTGCCAGGGTCTGGAGTCCTCCAGGGCAGCCACAGCAATGTCCTGGGTTCCAACACTGAATCTCCCCTGTTTTATTTTAAATCCATTCCTCTTGTCCTGTGACTATCTGCCTGTGCAGAAATTTCTCTCCCTGTTTTTAATAAGCCCCTTCAGCTGCTGGAAGGATTTCAGCAGCCTTGGGATTTGCTCTCAGGTTTTGTTGGGTGGTTCATCCCTGACCCACCCTGTTCACTCCATTCCTGGGGTGTGGGGGAAGGAAAGCTGAACTGTGCAGATGGGGCTCCAAAAGAACCCAGAGGGGATTGAATTTGGGCATTTCTGTCCCTGTTTGCTTGTTCCTGCTTATCAAATAAGGGGAAGCAGGTCCCACACCACTTCCTCTGTGCTTTCCATTGTCAAGAGTGAAGGAAATGGGATGAGAAATAAAATAACAGAAGTGCTCCAGTGAACCACAGTTATTATAGGTTTTTTATGAAAAATTCACTTTTATTTTGTTTTCTATTGGGGTAATACCTTTCTTTAATATTGTGATGGGTTTTTGTATTATGAAGGGATGGATGCTTATTGGGGTTTTGTGGGAGATTTACAACAGTAATTATGAATTTATTTCATAGATGTAAGGTAGTTTTTTAAGTTTTGTGAGAGTATTTATGAGTGTTACTAATTTTTTATTGTTTGGTTAAAATGTATGAGAAATCATAGTGATGTTTTTGCTTTTGTTTTTAGTATACTTGTAATATGAATTGTTTTACTAAAATGTGGTAGAATGTATATTTGCTTTGGTTGTTCATTGCTGATACATTTTATCTGGAAGACATTAAGTATTGGGAAAGTTTATAAAATGTGTTTTTTGTTATATAACTTCTTTATTTATATTTATTGGTAATGCAATAGTATTAAGTAGGGATGAATGCTTGTTGGGGTTTTTTGGGGGGGATTTCTAACAGTAATTATGAACTTATTTTGTAGTTATAAGGTAGCTCTTTTAATTTTTGTGAGAGTATTTATGTGTGTTACTAAATTTTAATTGAGAAACCATAGTGATGTTTGGTTTTGTGTTTAGTATACTTGTAATATCAATTGTTTTACTAAGGTGTGTTAGAATGTCTCTTAGCTTTGGTTGTTCATTGCTGATACATTTTTATCTGAAGGACATTAGGTGTTGGGTTCAAGTTTTACAAGGTATTTTTTGGTATATAACTTCTTTATTTACATTTATTGCTAACACAATAGTAATAGTTATTGTTGGTTTTGGTTGAATCATTATTGGAGTATTGTAAGAGCTGAAATTATCAGTCTTCATTATAATTTGTTGCGATGACAGATGGAAAAATTGAAAGTCTAAAAATTTTATTACTTTGTTTATAATTAGAAAGTCTTGTTTTTGTTGTGAAGCATTAGTAATTCTTGTGGGAATGTATTTATGGTAAAAGTATTTTAAAAAATATAATAATTTGGAAGTTGTAATTCTAATTGGGATGGTGTGAATTATAACATCTGTATTGTCTCACCTTCCATATGAGACTGAAAATGGAATAAAAGTTTTTAAAACACCTCTCAGTTGCTCCAGCTCTGGGTCAGAAAAGGGAATAATCCAACAATTCACCTTCACTCAAGGCACTGATTTTCATGGTGCTTTTCACTGGATTTGAACTTCAGCCATGCCCCTATACAGTGATCTCATGAAATCTGAGGTTTATTCTCCTTTAATTGATATTCCCTGGCCACGGTCTGCTGTAGGAATGAAACCCTGTATTGATTTCCAGAAATGGGTCACATCCTTATTTTCTTGCTGCTTTAGGATTGCCTGGATTGTGTTGGCTGCAATGTTCCTCTCATAAACTAATTTTTTTATTCCCTTCTTTTTTCCCACCTTTACTTTTTTCTTGTAGTTGGCTGCACTGGACAGTTAAAGATAGAAAACAGAAAAAATAGAAAGAAAATATTTGGACCAAGTCAGCCTGATTTATTTGACATTGTATTGTTTTTGACAAAAGAATTTGCCTTGAATTCTCTGGAAATAAATAAAAGCAACACTAAGGAATGAACAGGGTGACAGAATAAGAGAAACAGCTTTTAATTTGGTTTAGATTCAAGAGAGATTTTAATGAATTGTGCAAAAACTCATAAGAAACTGCTGGAAGATCAAACCAAGAAGAAATTTATTCCTAATTCTTCTTTAAATTCTTTTTGTATTTAGAGATACCCTTGTTCAGATATATGTGAATAAGTAATTCAATAAAATAAAACAAACCTGTTAGAAATCACATTTTGACAGGGATAATAATAAAATGTAAAACCCCCAAATAATTTGTGCGAGTTTTAATTACTTAATTAGGCCTTAGACATGCTAGGGAAAAAAAGGAGTAAAAGTAAAGAAAAAAGGGAAAGAAAATGAGGTTTGTTACACTTTTTTCTCAACTTTAAACGATATTTTTGGGGTTTTTTTCTTTCTTTTTTCTTGCAATGTGTTCTTAAAACTTACCGATCACCTCATAAACGATTCTATTTTTGTAACTGCTTTTTTTTTTTCTTATTTTCCCCCATATTTCAGGTTGCAGCAACCCATTCCAACTGCATCATCAAAAAGGAGCAAGAGACTTGTCTGGAGAAGATCCGGAGGGCGACGGCCCTGAACCCTCTCAATGATTCCTCTCCAGGTGAGTCTCAGCCCCTGCACCTTGAGCTGACAATTTAAAGGGATTTTCACCATTTCCTGGGATGCCTGGAGGGTGAGAGGGGTTTCATGGTGAGAGGAGCATCCGTGCTGCTGAACGAGCTTGGGGAAATTAAAAACAAAAATTCAATCAGTGGGGGTGCATAAGAACCATTCCTGGTTGTTATCAGAGGTCAGGAATTTGTTTCTTTACTTAAGGTTATAATATGTCTATAAAATAATAATTAAAAAAATTAAAAAGAAAGGATGGCTGGATGATTTTTGCCTGGGTGACAGCAGCTTTGGGGACAGGATGTGACACAGCTCACCACAGCAATAATTTGGGTATCTCTCCCATGATCTGAGGCCCTTTGCAGGGATTATCCTTGTGGTGCCTGCAATCTTGATGAAGGATACTCGTGCTTTTGCTGAGATAAGAAACTGAGGCAGTGAGCAAAGAAATTTATGGTTTAATATCCTGTCCCATTTCCTTCTGGCTGGAACTGTGGCCAGCACCAAGGAGAGAAGGGCAAAGAATGACAAAGAAACTAATTGGAAATCAGGGTCCATTCACTGAGTCCTGTCCAAGCTGCCACTGCTGTGACTGGAATTGATAAAACCGCAGAGAAAAGCTGATAGAACACGTTGTGTGTGATAAAAGGGGGGAGCTTTGTCTCCCCTTTTTCTTGCTGCACATTTTAGTGCAGAAGCACAGGAGGCCAGAGTGCAGGTGTCTGTGTTATCAGTGTCCTCTAAAGCTGACCATAAAATTCAGGAATTTTAGGTGCTGGGAGCATTTTCCATCAGACAGGAGGGTTTCCATCAGCATCCTGCTATTCATCTCATGCATAAATTCATTTCTGTTCTGCTGCCCAGCTCTGGGCAGAGTTACTGTGGGGTGTGGTGGAAGTGAGGAAAGCTCAGTGCACCTCAGGTCATTCATTCCACCTCCAGGGATGTGGTTTTGAGACCCTCTTTGTGCTTTACAAGAAAGCTTCCCAATTTTTCCCTGCTCCAGAAGTGGAATGAGCAAGGAAAAAAGGGGAAAAAAGGGAAAAAAAGGGGGAAAAGGGGGAAAAAGTGGGAAAAAAGGGGAAAAAAAGCCTTTTTCCTACCTCCTACCCCCAGAATGGTGCCAGAAGCTGATCATGAGACCAATTCCTTATTGTTTGGATTGAGGTACTCATAGAACTCCCCAGGTGAGAGGAGACCATTTCACCAGGCAGCTTTTATTCCTTTATCACCCAAATGCAGAATAACCCTGCCAGCTGGGCACTGTTCACACTGAACTCCTCCTCCTGCCTGCTCCCAATGGAAAGGACACAGCTCAGAGATGGAGGAAGCCCAGAGCCACTGGAAAAGGCTTTTGCACCTCGATGTGATGGAATTGTGTCGCCCACTCAGGCAGGAAGGGACTGGATCCTCTCAGGCTCTCACTGAGCAGAACCCAGCTGCTCCCTGTTCTGCTCCCCCAGTGTCTGCAGGCTGAATCACTGGGAAGATTTTCCCAGGCTCATTGAGCATCTTTGAGCTGTTCCCCACATCCTGTGGCAATGACTTCCACAGCTGACGTGGCTTAGAGTAAAAAAAACCCATATCCCCTCTAAGAGATTCATTTTCCAGTGAAGGATTCTGATGTATTTCTTATTTAAAAGCCCTTTCGTTCCATGGATCCTGCTTGCTGGCCTTTTTCTCTGCATATTAATGATTTTTTTTTAGATTTTTTTGTAGACTTGTTTTAAATTTATTTTATTTCACCTCTGGGACTGCAGCATTTCACTCTAAGTCCTGACCTCCAGACTCACATTTCATTATTTCATGATACTTATTTCAAGCCAGATCCTGCCACCCTCATTCTCAACAAAGCTTGATCTCCTTAGTTAAAGAATATCAACAAAATTCTATCACCTCCTTACTGGTTGAATTTGTGGGAGATATTTCACCACAAAACTCCCTGGAGATGCAGTAACTCTCCAGAAATTAAGCAGTCATAAGTGCAGGGTGTTGATTCCTCTTGAATTTCTCCTGCTGCACACAAATTATTTTCTATTTGGGAAAAATGAAAATTGCCCCATGTAATTTTCTTATATTCACCACTAAGACTTACTAAGGATAACAGTTAGTGGAGAAATGTTATCAGCTTGCTTCTTTCAAAGGGAATAACTCCCTTGCTTGTCAGAAACAGCTGAAAGAAGGGAGAAATCCCTCCTGACTGATGAACAAAATTCTGCTTATTCAGAGGAGAAGCACACAATTACCTTTTTGACTATTCCTGCCTGAAAATTCCCGGAGAAAAATCCAATATATAACATTTTTGAGAATTTATTTCTCCTCGGTGGGGCTGCAAGGTCTGAAATGGGATCATGAGCTTTTAGGAAATCTGTAGGGGCTTGTGAACATGATCAAGTTATTGGGACTTAAAAGAAAAATCCATCTTTTATGGCAGGTGACAGAAAAAGGGCCAGGTACAGAAAGTGGGTCTGGGACATGAACAGTCTCTATATTCTGTATTTCTGCAGTATCTAGAATAATATTATAAAATATTAGGGTTCATGAATCCTTCTCCAGGGTTCCCACATGGTGCACAATGGTAAATCTCTGCTCTTTAAGAACCTTGTTTTCTGTGCTAGTTTGAGAAGCCCCATCTTGGGTGGCAAGAGAGGAACAACAACTTCTGGTTCCTCCATTTTGCAGGAATTCAGCTCTGCTGCCTTTGCTTTACCCCCTTGCTGCGTTCAGTGAACACAAACATCGACCAAATGGGGTTTCTGATGTTTCCTCCTTTCTCTCCCACTCCACCTCTCATTCCCAGATGTTCTGCTCATTATTTCTTTATTCTTCACAGCAGTTTTCTCTCCTTCTGCTGCTGGGCCATGCCTTTAATGCTTCAGAGGCAATGATTGCCTTGAGATTTTCTGTTTGGTTTATTTTTTTTCATTAGTTTTATGATGGATTTTTCCTCTTAAATGCTTTAAATTCTTCAGGAAACTTTATATGAGAAGAAATAGGGGGCATGTGCTGACCCTGTGTGTCCATTCCTGTTCAGTCATTGCTAACAGCCTGAATGGAAAAGAGAATTTGAAGGAAATGAAATCTCAGCAGGACCCAGAATCTGACTCCCTTGCTCTGGAGGAGGAATTAAACTGATAAAGGGGAGTAATGAAAGCCAAAGGCAGACAAGAGAGGAAGGAGAGCAGTGATTACTTCATACTCAACTTCCCCAGGCAGTGGTGCCAGGCTATTCCTTACATCAGTGATTCCAATTTCCTTTGTTTGAGTTTTCATCCCTACTGTGGAGCTCCCCAGTTTGTGCTGGACCCTCTTCTAGCTCTCACCAGCCCTCCAGGGATTTTCTGCCAGATCAGAATTGACAAATCTCACTGCTGATCCACATGCATCCTTTTTTTAATTTCTATTTCTCCCATCCAGACTCTTCTGACCTGTTCCCAACCCTGGGGCTAGGAAAGACTGACACAGGAGTTACTCAGATATTAATGACAGTTTCCTGGGTTAGGTGCATCTAGCAGGGGATTCATCTAATTAGATGTTGATACCTTCAATTGCATCTGCACTACCAATGGGCAAGTCACCTTCCTCAGTTTGTAGCTCTGGATGTCTACCAAGCAGAGCCTGAGGCATAATTTATTTTATCCTCAACATAGATTAGATTATGCCTATTTTTTCTCTTTGGACACATGGAACAAAGGGTGACCATGTGAGCTCTAAATAATCACATTTCGGTGTCTCAGAAATCAGAAATATCCCGCCTTTAGCTTCTGTCTTTGTTATATTGACTAGGTCATGCTGGAGGTCGGGATTACCCCAAAAATCTCAATGGGATTTAGGATGGAATTGTTTCCATCTCAATGAATTGTGATGGAAAGAACCTTGCTGATGAAATGGAGAACCATAGATCGGCATGAAATATTTTTTCCAGCCTGTTCCCTGTCTTGCTTTCCACTGTTGGAACCAGATATTGTAGACTTGTCTCTTGAGTGTGGTGGGAAAATTCCTTGAGTGATTTGCAGATTTGTGCTTAAAACTTAGTGTTTAAAAGCACCTGAAATGCACTAACCTGGAAAGAGCTAAAGTGAAAAAAGTGAACTCAGCACAAGAATTTGAATAGAAGTGATGAGGCCTCCTTGGTGGTGATGTGGTTCATGACATGGAACCAAACATTGCAAACTTGTCCCTTGAGTGTGGCTCCCTCTCAAATGGTGGGAGAATTCCTTGAGTGATTTGCAGATTTGTGTTTAAAATTTAGTGTTCAAAGTGCCTGGAATGAGCCAAGGTGTGACAAAAGTGAACTCAGCACCAGAATTTGAATAGAAGTGATGAGGCCTCCTTGGTGATTACGTGTTCATGACTCACTGTCAAATCAATCTTTACCTTCAGAACTCCATCATCTCTTGCTTTCCCATCCCATTCTTCCTGTCCTTCCTCTAAAAAATATAGAGAGGAAGCAACATTCCCAGGCATGTCAAGGAATTGAAAGGAAACAAGGATTTGAAGGGATGTGATGATTCCTGCAAGGAATCACATTGAATTCTTGTTAAAAGTTACCCCGTAAATCAACAGGAAAGAAACTGGTAAGGGCACCAGGGGGTAGGAGCTGGTAATTAGGAGGCAGTGTGGTGATGCAAGGAGAGATTTTGAATTATGTTTCCATCACAAGAAGATGATGGAGCAGGTGGGTTTTTTTTCAGTTTCACATTTTTTATTGAGTGTCTCATCAGCCTCCCGTTCTCTGAGAGCCTTTGAATTATCTGCTGTTATTTCCCCTGGCACCACTGGGAAGACATTACTTCACTGTGTCTCCCTCACTGAAGCAGCTGTGCCCAAGAACAACAGGACTAGGATGGAATCCAAGCTGATGAATTCCTAGAGTTGGAAGGGCATAGATAAGAAAATGTCTCCACAACCTGAAAGTTTTTCTCTGTGGCTCCTTTTAAAGTAGAATACAGACCGAGATAGCTTTGATCTCTATGGATACATCGCTCCTTG